CGCGAATTTTGAATGCGCCTTGCAACATCAAATGCTTGCATCTCCGTCAATATCGTACCGATAATTTAGTGCACGTAAAAAATCAAAATCTAAGTTAGCCCCTCCTGCATGCATGCAATGGAGTTTATTTCAGCTCAATAGCTTTTATAGTTTTTGAGTTATATTAAAACAAACAGGTAAAGCATTTTTTGGACACCCGGTACCATAAATATATTATTAGGATATGAGTACTTGTCTTAGTGATAGGTATTATTAACCCTGCCATACTAGCCTATATAGTGTACATGCACGGAGGGATATTTATCGTAAGCCGTTAAAGAAAGGACTGCAGTTCTACCAACTCTAAAATTAAAAAAAATAACGTAATGATCAAATTTTGAGTAGTTATACAATAATAGTTCAATCGCAAAAATTCGATCTCTTGGCCTTGAGAATCATTGACTGTTTTACAAGTCCATGTTTTACAAGTCCATGTTTTACAAGTCCATGTTTTACAAGTCAATGTTTTACAAGTCAATGTTTTACAAGTCAATGTTTTACAAGTCCATGTTTTTTACAAGTCCATGTTTTACAAGTCCATGTTTTACAAGTAAGGTCCAGTCCATGTTTTACAACGTGCCATTTATACCAATTCTGCATTTTGTACTTGGTCTGCAGTCTGCAGATTATACTGACCGCATTGTTGGATGAAAATTTTGAATAAAGTCAAATCTTCGATCCAACATCATGCAACAACTTTATGACCAAAATAATGTTATAACAAACCAATGTAACAAACTCAGCAATGTTGCATCAAACAGTGTAGAATGATGAACGACCAACATATTGAACTAAACACGGCTCATACAGAATTCCAGGTTCATGTTAAAGATTGATACTTGTTCTCCTCATCTTTGGTTTTGCTCAACTCAGTATAAGTAGAATCATCGTCATTTTCAGCATTATTACTTGCAGCATTTACTCTTAACGATTGATAATTGTCTTCTGTATTTATTTTTGAAAGATCAAGCTCTTGATAAGTTGTATCAGCTTCAGTTGTTTGTGCTTCGGTATTTGATTGAGGTCTTCTGTTTCTCAACCAACGACGACAAGAACACCAGAGAATGTAGGAAACCAGAATGCCAATAATAATTCCAGACACCAAAGATATCACAATATGCCATACTACAACGGTTCCACTGCTCTCACTATTCACTTTCTTAGAAGCTGCGGAAGAAAACCGATGAGTTAAAAAATTAGCTAAAAGACCTTTTAACTGGGTACAAAGGAATTGAAAGGATGCCAATGACAGTGGCACACTAGTACTTGTTGTATATAGTTTTACTGTCAGAGTTTTTAAACTGGTGATTTTTACATGATTATTGATCATGATGATGTTTGCATGATTTTTTTAACTGAAAAGGTTTAAAGGGAGGGTCTACATTATCGAGTTATAATCATCCAGCTATTTCAGAAACACTTTTCAATATACCTATGGCAAACTATATATATCAGCAAATAGCTCATGAATTGAATGTTCTGAAAAGATACATTTTAGATCATTAATTTATGTTACCAATGGCAACAAGGTACCTAAAGTGGCGAAATGCTGTTTTTACGAGACTGCAGTTGAAAAAATATTGTTATAGGCAATTCAAATTGAAGACTTTTTTGGATATTTCACTTATCACTAAGTATTCTTGGGGATGAGTTGATGGTTTTTTTATTAACTTGAAAATTTAGCTGAAAATAGTATTATATAAATGTGCTTGGTATTTTTATGCAATAACTGCACGCAATTGAAAATTAGATTTGAAAAAATCCTCAATTCATCCTAATGGGCAATAAACAGCAGCCATGCAAACATTTTTAAAATTACAAAATGTAGTGACAGATAAACAAGGTAAATCGCACCAATGGATAAGCACACATTAACAGTTACGTAAATTGGTTTGATAAAGCGTCTAACTGACTAGGAATCATGAGTATATAGTTTTTTAAAAAGGTTACATTTGCAAAGGGTTTAGAATTTATTAGAAATTGTATTTGTTTTGAAGTATTTTCCCGGAAAAGAAAAACTTAACGGCAAAACAATTTGGCTGCTTCATGCGTGAAATAAAGTTACATGGCTGTGTCGTGTTACCTTCTCCATCGCCTGTTGATGTTGGTTTTGGTGTTGGTGTTGATCTTGCTTCTATTTACCAATTGAAAATAAAATGATTATAACAAAACGGAATTTTTTTGAAAAGGTATAATTAAACAAGTGCTGAAAATGAAGTTGTACTTGCCCTGTGTTGCTACGGATTCGTATTAATTTTGCAAATCATTGTTCGATTAGTATAGGTAATAGCATGGTTTCGAGTGCAATTTGGATATAACATGCACCAGTGAGTTTTTCAAAGACCTCAAAATAGCACGAGTCCGAAGGACGAGTGCTATTTGAGGTCTTTGAAAAACTCACGAGTGCATGTTTATCCAAATTTCACGAGAAACCATGCTATTACTTATTAATAATTTACATAAAAATGTTCGAGACAATTGTAGTTTTAACTTACGCGTTTCTGGCGAACATTCCACTAGCAAAGTTTTGCTGGCTTTGTTATATCACATAATACAACGCTAACAGCTTGAAAATTCCACTCAACTGTGTATTTTTTGTTTGTCTTGTTCAAGGTATATGTTTTTCCACTTAAAAATAAATATAAAAGCCATATTTTTCACGCGAAGGCAATTTTTACTTTGTGTAGCGCGGCGCCATGTTTGTTTTGTTTTGAAGCAATCTGTGACCGTTACTTCTTTAAACTAAATTGCTTTAAACTGATTGGTTGATTTAATCATCACAATGTTTTTCCACCAATCAGATCAGTTTGTTACAGATTTTTGTACTGTGATTACAGAAAATTGCACTGTGATTAAAAAAATTGCACTGTGATTATAGAAAATTGCACTGTGATTACAGAAAATTGCACTGCTGTTTGGGATTAACTGCACTGAAATCAACCAATCACAGTCGAGTAATATCTTTATGTAAATTATTAACTGTTGAATCTCCTGTTGTTATTGTAATTTGTAACAGTGAGAGTTATGAAAACTTATTTGGATAGGACAGGGTATAATACTTATGGTAACCAGTATCCAGAAGTGGCATACTGGATTCTCAGGGGGGGGGGGGGTACTAAACTTTGAATTCTGGTATCCCAGTTGCATGCATGGATATTGCATGAGAAAACATCTAAATTTCAGACCCTGCGACGCTGACCCCAAACTCGGTATGTGCACGATAAGGCGTAAAAGAAATACACCTGTGGTTCCGGTTTCATATCGCGAAAAAATTAGGGTCGGTAGGTCGGAAATAATTTTTTTTTTGAATATTTTTTTCATGGCTTTTTCAATAAGTAGTGTGACAACATACGCCATTTTGGCAGCGGCCCGCAACCACCCGGAGAAAATAGGGTCGCACGGTCAATCGCGTTGAAAAAATAATAGGGTCGGCAGAAAAAAATAGGGTCGGTCGGGAACCAGAACCACAGGTATTTTTTTTACGCCTAATGCATATACATAGGAAAAAAATTGTCACGTACATCTATGTCGTCGTACATCGTTGTGCTGGTCAAACTATGTAACATGTTGACAACGTAATGTATTTTAAATCCAGCTTCATTACAATTTACCTGATATTGTTTTTGTGTGAATGTTATGTAGTTCAGCGGCAAGAGAGCAGTAGAGACCACAGATGTCACCAAAAGTTTTGGATGGGACAGTAGCGATGGTATGTTTCAGTTCAAATTGTAAAGATTCATGTATTTCATATGTTCATATACCTGTATATTCATAAATTCAACTACTTCAATAAATTTTTATGCATAAAATTCTTCATGACCATACCGCGCATGCACCCAAACTAAAAAGAATCTTTTCGATTGAATAATGAAACTGGTTATACTTACATCTCAGAAATAGAGAAACCGATTCAGACTTAATTCCTAAGCCGGAAAGAGAATTTGGCAAAATGTGCTGCAATTATAATGGTACTGCACTTTGGAATACTCTTCCCTATATGAGGCAAAAATTACTATGTATCTGACAGTTGAGAAACACAAAATAATAGTTACATATTGTCAGTTTAAATACAATTATCATTGATGCTGTAAAATTGTCGCCATATTTATACAGCAATACAAGCAAAACTTAGTAACACTGAACTTCTGACATCATTAGTTTTGAGCGCGTGTTACGTAGCATACAAAAGATTCTGCTCTTAACCCTGAACAATCTTTTGTGTGATGTATAATGATAAATTGTATGCATTCTACAGCCTGGCACCAACACGACGTGCAGGAGTTATGTAGAGTGATGTTTGATGCGCTGGAAAAAGTTTTCAAGAATACAGATCAGGTAATATGAGGTTGCGATATTCAGAAGTGAACAATTCTCTGAGTCTTTTGCATGTCATTTATTCGATCACATTTGCCATTCAGGAGGATAAAAATCGCCGACAGAATAGACCTTTCCCCTTATTAGTGAAATTTTGATCTAGACAAGTCTGGACAAAAATTTCATCATAGCTTGAACGAGCATCACAAAATTAGTAATATTCCAAAGTTTCGTTGCGAAATGTTGTAAAATGCGGATAATATAGCCTTGCGAAGTTTGCCGTTTTTCAGTCATTTCGCATTACAAACTGGAAAGTGATAATCAGTTTGATCATCTGATTATCAATTTCCCGTTTGTAATCTAAAATGACTGAAAAACGGCAAACTTCGCAAGGCTATATTATCCGCATTTTACAACATTTCGCAAAATTTTTGTCCAGACTTGTCTAGATCAAAATTTCACTTCAAGGGGAAACGTCTATTGCCAGTGTGAACTAGGCTTTAGTCTTTAAACTAAAATACATAAAAATACATTCATGACTATTTTTTTTCAAATCAGGCTCAACTTATCAACCACCTTTACCAAGGGAAATTAAAAGACTATGTGAAATGTCTTGAGGTTTGTAAAATTTTGATTTTGGTTTATCATGTGTTCCAGTTCAGCAAATATTACATACAGGGTATACACCAAAATAAGCAGTTTATATTTCAAATATATTAAGTCAACGAAATTTCTTCTGAAATTCCAGACCTTTCAGGAAGCAATAGAAATTCAGCCGATGATTTTTCCGATGATGACGTTTATCAAGCTATTTGCATCTCGTCTATGTATCTACAGTACAGCAAATTTTCGATAAGAAACCAGGGTGTCAGTCAGAAGATTAAAAAATTAGCCTGCGACATTCAGACCTGAGTTAAGGAATATCGTGTTTCTTAAATGACGTTCTCGTGGCCTATAGTGCCAGCTGAGCTAAATTTAAGTTTTTGAAGTCACCTGACATTGTTTTGCGTATACTAAAAACAGACAAGTGTATATTTTAGGCTACATAACATCCTCGCAACACTTATCTGGTATCGAATTTTTCTTGAGCAAAGTTTTGAAGTTGAACAATCTTTTATATAATTATATACAATAATTGAAATTGCTGGCTAAATGCGATTGTGAAAACAGCGTATATAACGCCAAGTTCTGTACTGTAGCTAACACCCTGAAAACTAAACA